AAGTACATTGTGGGGTACCACAAGGCTTAGTTTTTGGTCCCTTATATCATGGCTATTCAATTAATTTGTCATGGGGGCCAGTTCATGAAAAGCATCCCAAATGAGGGGCCGGAGAGATATGACTTGCGTTATAAATGATGACACAACAGCAATATAAGAGCCCATATGCTGTAGCTTTTGCTCCTTAAGACACTCACGTTGGCTTGTTCTACATTAAAATGTTAATATGTTGTATTTTGAAACTACATACCATCTCTGCATTGCACAATGTGGCTTTTTTTTACAAACATATTCAAATGTTGTATTTAGAAGCAAAATCAGTGTGTTGCTCAAGTATGCTTCTTCTACATTCAACACATTCATATGTTTTAAACAGCGTAACAATTAGGGATGCAGTGATTATAGATTTTGGTTGTACAATTTAGTCAGAAGAATAACCATGGTTTCACAGTTATCATGATTATTAAGCATTAATTCAAATCTTTAATTAATTCACATTACTACTTTAGAAAATCACAAGAAAACTGCTTATATTTTTGTGTGGTTTATGCAACCCAGGCTCGTTCTGGAAATGAAGCCCTACGGACGTTTCTGGAGACCGCGATTTACGTGGTCGGAGGTACGTATGGCTGTGTTTAGTTTTTTTCAAGCAAACGCTACAGGGCGGTGTGACGCCGCTACTCTATGTGCTCGCCGGCTGGACTGACGGCTCACCTCCTCTGCAGCCAGTTTGTCCGGTTAGCTTGTTGTGTTATGACGGCGGAGCCCGGAAGACGAGGAGGAGCCGGCAGCGTTCGAGACCGGGTTTGAGTCCGGGGAACAGCGGTTCCAAAAATCAGGTAAGACAAAAAACAGAATCCAAAAATAAAGCGAACAAGTTCGTAACGGGGCGAGAACGCGGTGAAATCTGAAAACGCGGTCAAAATCGGACAAGGGCTTTTCTTTTTCTGCATGGCTTTCATAAATCTTCGCTTGGGTTTAGGAAAGAAGGAGGAGGAGGATGGCCGGGTCGGCTGATTGGCCGGCCACCTAGTCATTCGTTCAGTCAGTCGGTCAGTCGGTCGCTCGACAGCGGCCTCCAGGGGCCCGCGCTGTTCTCGCGGGAGGCGTTCGAGACGAAAAAAAGCGCGCACAGCGACCTCTCGCAGATTCGCGAAAACAAAAACTCCACAAATACGTACCTCCCGGGACGTATTTTGCGGTCTCCAGAAATGTCTGCGGGGCTACGATTCCAGAATGAGCCTGCTACGTTTTCAGAATGAGCTTGGGTTGTTTACTGCTGCTCAGTAACCAAATGCAGCACAAAATATAAATAAAAAACAAACGATAGTCCATTTCTCTCTTTGGACATAAAAATAAATGAAAAAGTTTGATTTAAACATGAGTGATAATTTTACAATGAAAATAAATGATAGAACAATGAATAAATGAATAAAAATAAGAATAAATAAAAATAGTATTTGAGTAATACAAGCCCCTTTCACACATACAGACCTTTCCGGAAAATTGCCGGCAATTTTCCGGAAAGGTTGTATGTGTGAACAGGTCCTTTTTGAAAATACCGGTAAATTCGTTCTGGCTATTTTCCGGAAAGAGAAGTTGTAACATTACCGGCAATTTGCCGGAATGCTGCGCTGTGTGAATGCAGAAGGAAGATTCCCGTAATAAGCGCGTGCACGTCTAGAACGTGCTGACGTGAGACGTCTGCTTTAGCCAATCACAACAGTCAGACGCATTTACGTCCGCGCGGTTTGTGAGGATAAAAGCCTTTGAATATTTTTCCAGACACATTTAGCTACTAGAAGTTAGTCAGATCACGTTTATATGTTCTTCTTAATGTCAACTGTGTAAATAATCATCGATGAGATGCTTATGATAAGCCGTTGTTTGTTTACCTTCAAGCTTTGCGTGCGCCTATGAGCGCCTGCACACGCACATATTATGAACATCTGAAGTGATCCTGCGAAAGTTGTTCACAATATTGATCATCCACAGAGTTTGTAATTTAGTCAAATGTTTACAAATACAAGCTCAGCCGTTTAAAGCTCATTTGTGGTGAATGATGTCAGAATTTACCGGTATTTTGGAATGGATGTGTGAATGCTCTTTTCCGGAAAATTTCCGCAACGTCCTCGCCTGTGTGAACAGCACTTTTTTGAATATACCGGTAAAGTCGTTCCGTAAAATTTCCAGATATTTACCGGTATCACTGTGTGAAAGGGGCTATTGAATAATATTATCTGCGTTCATACATACATAATCATTTTAATCATTAGTAACAATTCGACTAAAGTATTGTTTGTTCACATTGCACTGAAAGTTACGCACAACTCTCCACTACAGTGTGAGATCATTTCTACTGTGTGCTCCTGGAGAATACGAGAACGTCGGTCCGCTTGCAAGCTACACGCGCACTGCTCCCAATATGTGCATGTCTCTATTGGAAATATTAAACTTGCGTGCCGAAAAGATGCAAAAGGGCGAAAAAAGAAGAATGGCCTGTTGCTGTAGTTAATCCAACATGTGTGTGTATTGGCAGTACTTAGTTTAGTTGCAGCTGTTTTGTTCCATGCAACAGAAACGCGGAGTCGAGAAGCCTTTATGATTAATTAACTGTATTGAATTCAAGTGTGGTTAATAGTGGAATGGGCTAAATATTGCATCCCTATAAATGATATCATTCATTTATAGGGGTTCTTCCATATGAAAATATCTATGGACTAAAACTGTGGTTATTTATAGTATAGTATATTTATAGTATTAAAGGGGAATCATATGATTGGGAGATCGTGCTTAGTAAATGCGAGATCAGCCGTGATAAATTATAAGCACGTGACCCTCTCGAAATGTGTTTATAAATAAACTTCACTTTAAAAAAAAAAAAAAAAAAATTTGCACATTTAATCGCACAAGTGTCGCTAAATAAATTTTCCATTTCACACACATCTTTTTTAGATGGAAATGTGAGTGAAATGGTCACACTGTCAAGCCCTGCCAATGCATGCAACACACAAATGCTTGAAAAATATTTTTAAAAATCTTTGTAATTTATCACACCTCTCTGATACGGATATAGCATATAGTGTTTGCATGATAACAATAATTATCCTTTGTATTCACTGACTACTTGAAAGAAGTCAGCAAGTTAAAAACTGTGAGAGTAAACACATTTTTCAGCCATTTATTCATTCAGTTTCATTCGGCTTAGCCTCTGATTGATCACCACAGCAGAATGAACCACCAACTATTCCATCATATGTTTTACGCAGCAAATGCCATTCCAGTTGCAACCCAGTACTGGGAAACACCCACTACAGCCAGTTTAGTTAATTCAATTCACCTATAATGCATGTCTTTGGACTGTGGGGGAAACCGGAGCAACCGGAGGAAACCCACATCAACATGGGGAAAACTCACACACAGAAATGCCAACTGACCCAGCTGGGACTCGAACCACTGACCTTCTTGCTGTGAGGCGACAGTGCTAACCATCGTGCCACACGTCTAATGACAGCATGATCAAAGTAATACATTTGTCTAATACGAACACTCTAAAATGGATTAATAATGTTAATATACATATACAGTTGAAGTCAGAATTATTAGCCCCCCTTTGAATTTTCTTTTCTTTTTTAAGTATTTCCCAAATGATGTTTAACAGAGCAAGGACATTTTCACAGTATGTATGATAATATATTGTCTTCTGGAGAAAGAATTTGTTTTATTTCGGCTAGAAAAAAAGCTGTTATTAATATTTTAAACACCATTTTAAGGGCAAAATTATTAGCCCCTTTGAGCTATAAATTTTTTCGACTATCAACAGAATAAACCATCGTTATACAATAACTTGCCAAATTACCCTAACCTGCCAAGTTAACCTAATTAACCTAGTTAAGCCAACAAATGTCATTTTAAGCTGTATAGAAGTGTCTTGAAAAATATCTAGTCAAATATTATTCACTGTCATCATGGCAAAGATAAAATAAATCAGTTATTAGAAAGGAGTTTTTTAAAACTATTATGTTTACAAATGTGTTTTAAAAAAATCTCTCCGTTAAACAGAAATTGGGGGGAAAAACAAACAAGGGGGCTAATAATTTAGGGGGGCTAATAATTCTGACTTCAGCTGTACATGTAAAGATCAATCAAAAACAGACTTGGCCAGCTGACCAATCAGAGTACTTATTGGTTTACTGGCTTATGGAAGAAAGGAGTTTAGGAAGGAGACCTGAAGCACCAGTTTGATTCAAACTAACCATAAAAATAAATAAATAAATAAAAAATTGGCAAATTTATTCTAATAATAAAATGTACATTTTGAGAATATTGACCTGAATACTGACCAAGCCTGTTATAAGAGACTCTGACACAATATTTGGGTGCTTTTAAATAACATATGACCCACCCCTTTTTTCAGTCTTTAAAAAAAAAGAAATAATATTAATTCATAAGGCTTTAAAATCTGTTAAATATTAAACTTTAGATAAATGTTAATTGAAAATGTACATCGATTATAATATTATAAATTATTTTGTCTATCAAAATGATATCCAGACATTAGCATCAACAATAATCATCTACTCCAAGTAACAATATCATTGAGATTTTAAAAAGTAATAAGCATGTTGATTTTTTTTCGCAGTAACTTTCTCACATGCCAATTTCCTTTGCCTTCTCAGAGCCAGTAACTCCAATGATGCTTCTCTCGGGTAACTATTCATATCTCCTGGGGGAACAGCAAGCATCTCAGTAGCTGATTTGCTAGAGGATGTAGTTACTTGTTTTTTGCAACTTACATAATAAAATGTTTGTGTGGATGTTCGTTACAAAAAAAATGCTTTGAACAAGTCAATTATTATGTGCAACAAGGCTTCCAACACAGAAGGGTAGGAGGATTGCCTTTGTTTAAATATACACAAACAACAGTAGCACATTTGACACTTTCCTCACCAAGTAAGTTGGGCTGGTTAAGTTGCCAGATCTTCATATGAAAAGGATACAGTCTCAGGGCTCCACTCTGTGTGCCAATAGCCAGGATTTTCTGCACAGGGTCGAAAGCCATGGAGGAGGGTTGATAGGGAAAGCCATGCCGCACTGTCTGTGAAGCAGAAGATGATTTGCATTTTACTACAAACATGACAATGGAGTTCAGGAAAGGAAAATTCCGGCTCAGAAAGCAAATGCTGACCAAACACACACACCAAGTGCTCTATTTTAAAGTCTTTTAATGTGAAAAGAAGATTTAAAGAGCAGATCATATGGGTTTTTGGAAAATATCTTATGTACAGGTTGTCAAGTAACTGAACTTTAATGTGAATAATCTGCAAAGGTTTTCAAAACAGTGAAAAATAAAAATATCATGCACTAAATGGCTTGAAAGAGTCATTATTTTATTTTTTTATATTTTGCCTCCTACCAATCTACATTCAATTCATGTTTACTTCTATAGCGATTTTACGATGAAGATTGCATCAAACATAGATGTTCTAGTAAATTGAAATTGTGTCAGTCTAGAAGTTCAGTTTAGTTTAGTTCAGTGTGGTTTAATTTTCCCTGCTGAAAGTCCAAACACTGAAGAGCGAATCCATTGATGCGCAGCTCCACAGGTCCCAAATTAAGCAAGCCAGTGGTGACAGTGGTGAGGAACAAACTTTACCAATTGACGAAAGTGAAGGAAAAAACCTTGAGAGAAACCAGGCTCAACTAGTCTTATGATAGTATCAGATCTTCTTGGTCGTGATTATTGTGATAATATGTATTATCATGATATTACACCATCATAGCTCACGATATGAATCCATTAAGCCAATCTCCGGGTCAGGTGAGAGCATTTTTAGCTTAGCTTAGAATAGATCCATAGATATATACACTAGATATCGCATAGGGACCCTGAGCATGCGTCAATAGCGCCGCCACATTGGTACAGTCAGTGCTCCCAGGACAAATGTCATTCAACCGCACTAGTCAAGACAGTGTTAATACGTGAAGATGCGGAACTTTAGCGCTGTCTACGAGTGTAGAAACGAGCAAACAAAGAAAACAAAGCACAAAGGCAGAACATTTCATAGGTAATATTACGTTTTTTTCTGTTTTTGTATGTTCTGAACTTTTGTGCTAATCAGGTAACCTTATTGATGATAACAGTCACTTACTGCATTCACCATACGGCAAAGCAGCTCCAACTCGCACTAAACACTCGGCTTATGCTAGTTTTGTTGAATAAAATCAGCAAACAATGCAAAATAAATATGACAACGAGATGCTGCGCTGCCAGAAACTTGTATTATTGTCGGCTAACGTTAGTGAAAGAGTCGTTCGGACGATTCATTCACAAAAGAATCGCTAACTCTGTCAGTATGAGAACTGAAAGCAGGAGAGGAGGTGTGTTTCAGGACATGATTAGATTAAATTTAACAGGGAGGGTGAATAGTACATTTTGTACATACAAACACAAGCTTTTTGTCAGGAATGCCCGTGCGGTCACTGATCCATCAATGTAGAAAAGTGATGTAAAATTATAATTTTCGTAATTAGAATAAAAAAATATTGCATACTAACATCCAGGAAAACTCCCGATCACAGGTATATTTGTTTATGTGTATCTCTGGCTTTAGATGGCCACAGTCCTCCACTGTACCTTGGACCTGCATTCATTTAAAAGAAGCGCTACCCTGTAGCAAGATGGCGGCGCTATTGACGCATTCCGTCCAATAGACGACAATAGGCCAGGCGACATCTAATGTATATATCTATGGAATAGATCATTGAATTGGATTGGACCATTAGCGTTTCGCTCAAAGAAATTTAATAATTGTTCACTCTTCAGTAGTAAGATATCGTGATAATATACTATATATACTAGCTAATATATTAAATGTTATCACAATATTGACCTAATCTAGATTACTTTAACACATATAATAACTAAAAAATGCTTCGAGTATTGCTTTGTTAAACATGTTTCTAGTAAACTCATTTAAAAAATATTCTTAAAAAGCACTTTCAGAGTTTAAAAATGGTATAAATAGTATTTTGAAGTTCCCACAATATCAAAATTATGCAAGTTCATTATCACAATATATTGAATTATTAAATATCAGCATTTGTCTAATGTCATTCATTCATTTTCCTTTGGCTATTCCATTTTTATATTAGGGGTCGCCACAGCGCAATCGCCAACAATTTCAGCATATGTTTTACGAAGCGCATGCCCTTCCAGCCGCAACCCAGTACTGGGAAACACCCATACACTCTCACATTCACACATGCACTAAAGCCAATTTAGTTCATTCAATTAATCTATAGCGCATGTCTTTGGACTGTGGGTAGAAAACGGAGCACCCTAAGGAAACGCAAACCAACACAGGGAGAACATGCAAAATCCACACAGAAATGCCAACTGACCCAGCCCAGACTTAAACCAGTGACCTTCTTGATGAGGTGACAGAGCTTATCACTGAGCCACCGTGTTGCCCATTATACCATTTTATCGATATTACACGGTTACATCACGATATGAATCCATTTAGCCAATCTCGAAGCACTTTTAGCTTAGCTCAGCATAGATCATTGAATCGGATGGGATCTTTAGCATTTCACTCAAAAAATTAAGTTTCAATAGTTTTAATCCCCCCGCCCACCGAATTGATTGACAGCTGCGCGTATTAACATGTTCCGGTAGCCACATGTATAATCATGTCAACAAGACCAGACGTGTGCAAAGCAACCGGGAATAAAAGGTCTGTTCAGTTCGTTAGGATCATAAATCATCATCGAATGTGATCAAGAGTAAGTTTCACATACTTAAAATGTTTTAAAACAGTGCATGTGTGTAATGAATTACAGCAATTTACTTCAGCTTTACTTCATCAGCACAGCCGCATGTCAGAACAACTATAAAATAAGACGCTTCCATCCCGGATTGTGGATGTTAAATCAGGTTTATTTTATGCATTGAAATAACAGATATAAATACAGCAGTGGAGATTAACCTGTATCCTGTCACACATGCTGATGATAATTTTAAATGATTATTTTCGTAATAAAAAAAAAGTGTGTACTGACCACCGGGAAAACTCCCGATCATAGATGTATGTATATATCTTGGGCTCCGGATGGCCAGTCCTTCACTGCATTTTGGTCCCACATTCATTTCAAAGAAGTGCTACCCTGTACAAAAATGGTGGCTCTACTGATGCATTTCTTCGCATAGACAACAATAGCATAGGCGACATATAATGTAAATATCTATGATCAAACACAATGATTTAAAGAAATAGACAATAATATGCAATATACATTATAGATTTCAATGACACAAAGCTGTCAGAAACTATGCATTTAAAGCTAATTCATAAATATAAACCTATGAATATGAGGACTAATTCACCCCCAAAAAATTATTTACTCTGTGTTTACTCAACCTCAAGTAGTTCAAAACCTTTATGGGATTATTTATTCTGTTGAACACACACAAAAAAGATGTTTTGAAGAAAGCTGAAAACCTGTAACCATTAACTCACTCCATACTACAAAAACACAATGAAAGTCAATGGTTAATGGTTTTCAGCATTCTTCAAAATATCTTTGTGTTCAACAAAAAAAAAGAAATTCCAATTGATTTTAAACAAGTGGAATGTTCGTAAATGATCACATAATTATTTTCTTCATGAACTTTCCCTTTATTTTTTTTTGTGCTTTACACACATGCTAGATATGTATAAATATTCCCAATTTGTTTTCCCTTCAAAATTCTAGTAAATAATAATAATAGTAATGTCCACTTCCTTTTAAGCAAAATTGTTTTTTCCCTTGGACCATTTCATGTCAAACATTCATAAGAAAAGACTCCCTTATTAACGTGGAGCTGAGAAAACATAATATTGGTTAAACATTGCACATGCGGAAGCCTCCTCAGGCGTATTCTTGATATACTTTGAGTATGTCAATATACATTGCAGACTGGTGGTATTTCCGGTTATATTCGAAATAATAATAAACATCATAACTATGAACAATGTGGAGCAAAACAAACAAGAAACGGCAATCATTTGAAGTTTGGAAAGGCCTGGCTCCTTATTACTGGTTTAGTAATGAGGAAAGGACTGAGAGTTTCAATTAGGATTTAATTAGATTGAAATTAAAGCGTATATTAGGGATGAGTTTCACATCACAGAATGCAGAGGAGCTGAATTTGCCTTTTGACAGCTGAATAACACCTGAATTACTGTGGTGCACAGTAAAAACTATAACAAAAAAATAATAATGATTAAATAAATAAATAAATAAATAAATAAATTATAAAGGAGCAATTCCAGCATTATGGATGTGACATTCGCAGTAAAAATTTAAAACATAAATTCAGACAGAAAGTATATGTTAACATTAGATTGAAACACCCGTTTATATTTTCTAGAACAACTGACCACAGAATTAAGGGAGCAGAAAAATATCAAACTGTAAACATGTTTTATACTTTAAATGAGGAAAATAAACAAGCGTTATGGACGTGACCAAAAAAGTATACAAGCTTACAGTATACAACATACTTAGTAGAAATTCTGGGAATTAAACTGCACAATCTAAAAGAATTAATGCTAATTAAAAGGATAAGATTCCACTCACTATAAAACAAACATGTTTGGTATTATTTTATGTAATATTTTTGCATTTATGAGGAAAAAGCTTTGTTATGGATGTGGTATTTCTCCGTTATAGATGTGACAGATGTTAAATTGCCACTTGTGTGACTTTGGTAAATGAAACATAATTGTCTGAAAACATAGAGACATCCCTGAGTACTTCTAAAGTGCTGTAAAATACTTAAAACTTTTCGTATTTTGGTGAAAACGTAATTTTTTTCATGGCGAGGTTTTTTTTGCATGGAATTGCTCATCTATCTATCTATCTATCTATCCATCCATCCATCCATCCATCCATCCATCCATCCATCCATCCATCCATCCATCCATCCATCTATCTATCTATCTATGAAAAAATTATATCATCATGACAGAAGACACTGACACACCTTTCCTTGTGACAGAAATGACTCCATCATTCATTATAGATTAAAAATCTATGAAACATACTGTTTTGAGTGCATGTTCAAACTTCTTGTATAAAATGAGCTGAATCAACAGAAATCTGGAACTGACACTCTGCGAAAACCACACTTTCACACAAGTCTAAAATTCAAATAAAATATCTCAAGGTCTTTCTTGACAAAAGAGACTGCCACACTTATTCCGTGTGACAGAAATTACTCCAGTCAATCATTATAAATAAAAATAAATAAAACACATTCACTCAAAACAATCACTCTGCTTGTTCGAACTACTTAAATAAAATGAGCTGAAACAACACAATTCCGGAGGTTTTCTTTGGGGAAACTAGTTGTTTTATGTTCAATCCACTTCAATTTCTTACAGTAGCATTGAGGAAAAGTTGGGTTTTATATTCGCACATTCATTCGTTGACGACATGTGACATACTTCCTATATTGTTTACTACTCGCTTTGAGCTTTATTAGGGCTAGATCTTTTGATAGTGGTTAGTGCTAATCACAAGTAGAATTTGATAGATTTTCACTGTGCCCCACTTGTTAAGGTGTGTTAAAGGTGCTGTAGCTTTTGGCTCTTCTAAAGCATAAAAATACCATAATATGTTTACAGATATTTAAGAAACATGCTAAGTGAACATTCTTGTTTATCTGAAAAACAATGCTGAAGTCAGACATTCTGCTTTAAAAATATGTTTTCAGTGACAGAACGGCTGTCTTATTTATGTTTTTTTAACCTGCCAATGCCAGCTTAGCCAGTTATATTTCAGCACCCCAGGCTGACTTGTTGTCAAACCACATATTTCATTCATTCAGTCAGGAGGACTGTCAAAGCATGTGACCGTGACCGATATGCGATGGACAGTAACAATCTCCGAAATGAGAAGCAGATTCAGAGTTCCACATGAGGTTATAAATTAAATAAATATTGCAAACGTGAACATTAGGGGAGCAGGTTACGTTGTAACAGTGTGTCCTAACACGCTACAAGAGGAGATTTGCAGTGATAAGCAATTTGGCTGTTTGCACCAAACGAAACACGACAGAAATTTAAATACAGCCATTTGGAAGCACAGAATAGTGCACTCACTGCACTCTAACCAAATGGTAAGGTTTATAATCTAATTAATACATATTACACCTCTTTAACATTATTAAATGTACATGCTGAATTACCAATAGTGAGTCACAGTTCTAAAGTTCAATTTAAGGTGTATTTTATCTTCAACATATAAGGTGAACTATCTGCGGCTGTTTTCAGAAGTATGGCAATAAATATCATGTAAAATGACACTCAAACACACATATTAGCATTTAACACTGAATAAAGCACATGAGGTGTACCTGAGTTTATCCTGTTGTTCACCTGTGAGAAATAGAAGCCGTTTCTAACATGTGTGTATGTATATATATATATATATATATATATATATATATATATATATATAGTTGTCACTGAATGAATATGCAAATATTAAACCAATTATACCTCAATGCGTTCTCGCGCGTTTTATTTATAATATGGAGTTGTTGGCCCCCCCGACCCGAATGAGATCACAGTAACTAATCCCACCTTGCAGAGCTGGAAATGCTCGGACTGCAGGGTCTCCTGAATCATGTCATTCCCCGACTGAGGGGACGCGGCGGCGGCAGAGGAGGAGGAAGAAGACGCCGCGGTCAATCCGTCCAACACCTTCCTGATATTAAACTTCTTCATGTTGTTTTCCAGCGAATGCGAAACGAACGCAGAGATGTGCATACACGGACACACTGTTGTTGTGCTCGTCCTCACATGTCAGACAGTGTTGTCATCCAGTCTCGCGCCATAATCCCACACTCATTCCCTAAAACACGGACCGGAGGGTCGAGTGTCACTTGGTTTTCATTTTAATCACTACACGGGCAGAGTAATCCGGTTAGATTTGGCCAATCTTCGGTGTGTTCCGTTCCCTCCCCTCGGCTGGTTCCCCCCGCTGCTAACGCGGAAACGCAGAGCTGCAATCACCGCACGAGTCTGCGCTGTGGAGGCGACACCCGGATGTGCGGGAGAGACTGACTCTGGATCAGTGAGATTCACACTTTCCCATTATAACCTTCAGGAAAGTCAACAGTACAGTAGATCAACACTACATGCTGATTAGGAAGATAACGGGAGATTGAAGATGAAGATGGCTTATCCTAAACGTAAATAATAAATAAAAATAAACAAATCGACAATTAGAGAAAAAATATTTATTATTATTATTATTATTATTATTGGTCATCATCATCATCATCATCATCATCAAATAATGAAATGTTAAATAAATTCATATAATAGGCTTCTTCTTTTTATTTTATGCATTATTATTATAATATAAATTTTTTAATAAAAAATGTATTTGTTTACAACTTTATTGTTGTTGTTGTTGCTGCTGTTGTTATATTTTTTATTTGTTATAATATTGTTTTGACCTGCTTTGTAAACAGATATTTTTATATTTTTCATATGAATTGTAATAAAACCACAACATAAAATTCAATTATTGAAGAAATATTCAATTATTTTTAAATAATACTATTATTTATTACTTTTATTATTATTACATTGAAGAAAATGTATACTTTTATTAATATTATTATTATTATTATTATTAGTAGTAGTAGTAGTAGTAGTATTTTTATTTATAATATTAATAAAACAATACTGTTTACATATATTTGAATTTAAATAATATATTCTGATGATGACAATAAGCATCATCATTATTATTATTACTATTATTATTATTAATAATATTCATTATTATTATCATCATCATCATCATCATCATCACAATATTTAATTAAAATAATATAAAACAATTAAACGTTAAATAATTTCAAATAAAAATAGCCTACCTCTATTTATTACATGCATTATTATTATGATATCAAAAAATATTTAATAAACAGTTTTTGTTGTTGTTGTTGTTGTTGTTACCGCTGTTGTTATATTTGTTCTTTGCTATAATACTGTTTTGTCCTGCTTAACAAATGGATATTTTTAGATTTTACATATAAATTGCAATAAAATCACAACATAAGATTAAATAAAAACGTGCAAATGACAATATAATATTTAAATAGATATTGTCTTTAATTTAAAAATGTATTATTATTATTATTATTATTATTATTATTATTATTATTATTATCATTTGTTGCTGTTGCTGTTGTTGTTTTGGTTGGTTGGTTTAAAAATAATAATAATAATAATCACTAAAAACATAATAATAATAATAATTATAATAATAATACATGTTTATTCATTTTTTAAATATTTTACACTATTTTTATTCATTCATTCATTCATTCATTCCCTAAAGAGATAAAGCCTATAGAAGGATTCATGGATATGGATTCTTTTCTCAGTAAATCAGTTGCTGCAATTTCTTATTCTCTTTAATTAAAATTATATAAATCTTCAACAATTTGTATTCAGGATTTCAAGCTCAAAGTGCTGTAAATACCCATCACTGGCAGCAGTTTTGTCTGTGATCACAGCACTGGTTCATCATCAGCTCATCTGAGATTGTCAGTCTCGGTACAAAATATTCTCAGCAGAAACACTGGCCTTTTCCTCATGATAACTGCTGCTTCCGGACGCCTGGTTACAAAACAGCCTCCAGAGTCTCTTCTTGTGGGTCTCAGGGGTTTATGATGTAGAATCACTCCAAAAATAATACTGAAAATATATAATAACACCAGCATGGGACATTATATACAACACATACTGTTTTAATTTGTATACTGGTCGCTAAATTCAGTCGAAACTTAAAAATGTCTGCAATATTACATACAAATATTCATTCATTCATTGTCCTTCAGCTTAGTCTCTATTTTAGAGGTATGCTATAGTGGAATGAACCATCTAGGATATGTTTTAACACAGTGGATGCCCTTCCAGCCCAAACCCTGTACTGGAAAACACCCATACACACTTATTCACACACACACACACCCATACACTACGGCCATTTTAGTTTATTCAACTCACCTGTACCACATGACTTTGGACTGTGGCACCCAGAGAAAACCAACACCAACATGGGAAGAACATGCAAACTCCACACAGAAATGCCACCTGGCCCAGCCGAGACTCTAAACAGTGACCTTCTTGCTGTGAGGCAGCAGTGCTTACCACCGAGTCAACCGTGTCACCTACATACAAATAATACAATATTAAAATGATGTCCAAATACAATATAATTCAGTATTTATATTTCTTTATTTTTAGGAGTAGTGGTAATATGCTTTATGTGTTTTAAAGATATGTAAGTTCATGTATACTGTATTGTATATGATATTAATTTATGCTAAGAGCCTCTGTGTGGACATTAAAAGTAAAGTATAAAAGTAAATTATATGCTTCATCCACTAGATGGAGCTATAAGCATTGCTATATTTCTATTTGAAGAAGGATGCGGTTTAAACGGGTACAATCAGGGTGCGAATTACACGGGAGTTTGGGGGGATTGACCCTCCTAGATAACGCATGATCCTCCCTCAAGGAAGTTAAGACGAGATGTGTAGGGGTGTCAGCTTGTTATTGGCGAGAAATACTTTTCACTGATATGTATCTTAAATAATAATACTAATAATTAAAATAATAGACAATATAAATATACATTTGACCACCCCTTTAACGGTTCATACCATTGTGAATGCATAATCGCGCCAAGCAGTCTACGAGGGGTAAAAGTCATTCAACAGTCTGAAACCAGCACATTTAGAGGACCGACAGACATCGTAAGTGCTCAAAAGACACTGTTCCAGTAAAATAGCGGTTTGTATTTATATAACCTAAAAGTAAAGTCAAATTAGATGCAAAGGTTTTATAGTTTGACCTAAAGTAACGACTGAAATAGCTAATCAGAGGCTACTGTGGGTCAGAATACATTAAATATCCTCAAAACACTTAAATGGGTTTTATTAATAAATTAGATGTCATTTAAATAAATACATACATTTCATTCACTGAAGCATGTATTACTCAAACTAAGCCTACCGATTAAGTTATATAACCTCCATTATATTTGCACCGTTACAGCTAATGTATTTCTATTTACGCATGTTGGATATTAAATGAAAAGATATCATGCTTTTATTACAGCATCATCAGCAATAATGTCTGTGAGGAGTAAAAAGTGATGGTACTTTATTCATTCATTTATTTATTTTCTTGTCGGCCTAGGTCGGAGTCGCCACAGCAGAATGAACCGCCAACTTATCCAGCACATTTTTACCCAGCGGATGCCCTTCCAGCCGTAACCCATCCCTGGAAAACATCCACACACTCTCATACACTACAGACAATTTAGCCTTCCCAATTCACCTGTACCGCATGTCTTTGGACTGTGGCGGAAACCGGAGCACCCGGAGGAAACCCACGCGAACACAGGGAGAACATGCAAACTCCACACAGAAACACCAACTGAGCCGAGACTCGAACCAGCGAACCAGCAACCCAGCAACCTTCTTGCTGTGAGGCGGCAGCACTACCTAATACGCCACTGCATCGCCTGGTATTTTATTACTTTTGTAAAATTTATTATTAGCATAACAGTTTGACTCAAAACAAAGAAACGTCACAATAAAGGTCACAGTTGTTCATTGCTAGTTTGAGTCCATGTACTGTTTAAAGATACAACTTAATTTTGTTTTAATCAAATGCGATAGAAAAAACAACTTTAGGTTCAATAATAATTGATTTAAATGATTAAAGTATTGATTGATTGTTAGTTTATGTGAAATAATATAATGTTAACAAACCTGTAAACTGTTATCAAAATAGTAAAAGTAACCTTTGAGTTTTTTAAACATTTCTTTACTTAAAAAAAATAAAATCTTACTTTATTCTTATATTAAGTCCATATGAACTAGCTTAAATCCTTATGAATCCTAAGAAAAAAGTGTTAAAAACAATTAAAATGTAAGTGTTTTAATGTTTCAAATTATTTTAGTGAAAATTAAATGTCAGATGTCAACAGATCTTTATTCAGATTAGTCAGACAGGCAATGGTCAAATACCGGAGCAAACAGGTACACACAAGGAAATCCAGAAGTGTAGTTGGGTCGAAATGATCGATGTAGGCAAACAAGGCAAAACAAGAGAACAACGCAGGGGTGAAACCATGAAGAAACTAAACCAGGAAAACGCTTTGTGATGTTATAGACCAGGGGTGGCCAATCCTGTTCCTGGAGATCTACCTTCCTGTACAGTTTAGCTCCTACCCTGATCAAACCCACCTGAACCAATTAATTAGGACCTGAAATCCTCTTGATAATTACAGACAGGTGTGTTTGATAAGGGCTGCAACTGAAATTTGCAGGAAGGTAGATCTCCAGGAACAGGATTGGCCACCCCTGTTATAGCAAGGTTGTAAAAAAAAACGGGAGCGCTAGCATCTACAGCGAGGGAATGTCATCCAATGTGGAACAGAGTTTGTTGTTGTATTAGAGATAAATTATATTGGTTAAATATTACATATATATTATTTACATAATGCTTTCAGTGTGTTATAACAGCTCGTCACCCAGTGATATGCAGTTTTTCCGCAAAGTTAACGTTTAAGTGAGTGTCGTTTGTCTGACAGATCCATTTGCGATAGCACTCTCCCAATGAATATTGGATAATACGAAATGGCCAAGCATCCAGCCCCAACTAATTTTTAATAAACCATATTTAACTGTTTTGGCTGAAATCATTGCTGCAATCAAAAACAAGTAACGTGTATGATTCAGCATAGCGTGAACTTACCTGATATAAAATGAGAACTGCAGAGTCTGGCGTTTTTAATTAGGTCCTCACTTCATTCAGCTCTTCTGATGGCTGTTAGCCAAAATCGTCTGCGGTTGGCATTAAAAGCAGTGTGGTGTACGGTAAAATGTAAGTTTTCTATTATTGGCATCCTCTTCGATTTTGGCATCCTACCGTACAACATGACACGTTTGCAATTGCAACCGGTATGCGCTGTTCAACCCGTGTGACTCATGTGTGATGCAGGTTGGTAATTTGCACCAACAAGACCCAGCAATGTGAGTGTCAATGTGAGCAG